TTTAGCCTCAAATAATTTAAAAATAAATAAATTAGATCAAATTATATTTTAAATTAAATTATATTAAAAAAATATATTTATAAAAAACATCGTTCAATAAAAATAAACCATCGAAATAGAATTATAAAATAGATATTTAAAAAAAATTATCATCCAATAAAAAATATCGAAATAAAATTATCATATTTATGTCAAAATCAAATAATTCTGCTTGGAATACTGACTAAAAAGACCCTATAATCAAAAATTAATTCAGAAAAAACTGGAACTAAGTAAAAAAAAGTAGTTGCATCATTTTTTATCTTATTCTTCTATGCATTTTATTGGTCAACTATATATTGGCCGGGCTGGCCCACAGAAGTACAGGTCGACTTTCAACCCGCCCGCACGCCCGGCCGATGGGCCAGGATTAGCCCATATCACTAGTTTCTACAAGTACAATTCGTCACGCATTAAGAAGACAAGATCTTCAAGCCAGAGTAAAAAGAAAGAAGCCCCTTCTCCTACCAAGAGTCAAAAAATTGCGAAGGCAATTTGCCAAAAAATACCGTCATTGGACTGTCAAAGATTGGTGTCGAGTAATTTTTTCAGACAAGTCAAAGTTTGTAATTTTTTGTTCAAATGGAAGAGAGAGGTGTTGAAGAGATCCAAAATTGTCTTTATTACTGCAACATGTTAAGCCAACAGTAAAATATGGTGGGGGTTCTGTGATGATATGGGTTGTATGGGTGCATAACTATTGTAGAATTGAAGGATCGATGGATAAGAAATTGTATCATGAAATACTAAAAGATGAGTTTATAGAGACGTTGCGTACATGATATTTAAGAAAAAATCAGATCATTTTTCAACATGATAATGATAGAAAACACATGGCAGATATTGTTACTAACTGGCTTGATGAAAATGGTATCAAAGTTTTAGATTGGCCACCTTATTTGCCTGACTTAAATCACGACATTTGAGGCAGCTTCCTGGTAATATTAGTAGCACTGAGGACTTGTGAAACAAAATACAAAAAGTATGGAATGAAGTCGATGATGAGTTTTGTTTAAAGTTAATTGACACAATGCCTGAATGAATTAAGGTAGTGTTAAAGGCTAAACAGAATGGTAAAACTTGTGACCACAAAAAAATTTTTAATTTATTTAGAAAAAATTAAAAAATTTTTCATGTAATTGGTTTTTTTGATTTTCTGTCAAAAATATTGTTCCACAAAATTTGTGGAAAATTTATTTTTTTTTAAAAAAAAATAAATAAATATTTGAAAAAATTTTGATACTTGATAAAGGAAGTTACGGGCCTTACGCCACCGAAGTTTAGCGATTATATTATTTACAGAATTCGAAATATATTGGTTTAAAATTTTTTTTTTAAGTGGAACAATAATAATGAGAGATACTGTACTAGAAGTCGATGTAAGTATTGACGGTTTATTTTATTTTATTTTAATGCAAGTATTAATGAAATCTTTACTTAAGCCTATGTTGGTATCTATTTTAAACCATTTTTAAGAGCAACTGTTAAATTATAATCTTTCTATTCGAATTTAAAACCTCCGCTGCCAATAATTGTAGGGTGTATGTACGTATATACACGGTATTTCTGAATTGAATCTACCAGAATTACTAGTGTGACTTAGAAAAGTCACTCTTGTCTCCACGTCGTTTGTTTTCGGTCAATTTTCGTTGCGGTTGTGGTATTGATCCCTTTGGAGGTCGAAAGTAATCTTGATTCAATGTGCCATCCGAATGTAATATGTTCCAAGTAATTTCAAATTCGGGT